CCCCAAAACCCCAAAACCCCAAAACCCCATAACTATACTATAGATCAAAGTAAAGAGAATATTAAAATTAGCTTATTGTATTTTTTATAAAATTTATGACTCAGCTGAATAGCAAGTCAAAGTCTTTAGCTGTGCTTTTATTCTACTATTAGTTGTCACTTGCCCAGTTTAATCCCCCAAATCCAAGATCACTAGAAGTTTGCTGAATCTTTGATCCTCTGTTACTATTACTGAAGTCTTTCTTTTATTAATTCAATTTGTCTCCGAATAAATTAGCTGCACTTTTATCAACTACTGGGTTCATGGAATGACTATGAGAAGCCTAGTACTATTGTTACTGCTAAGTTTGAGGCTAAACCTGCTTCTTAACCTTCTTCTCATAGGTGGGATTATTGGTCCATTTCGTCCTAAGTACCTTAATAACGATCATGCCGTCAGAAATAGGCAATTTGCCATTTTCATTTGAAAGATCTAGCCACACTGTCTGTCCTTAGTATTTATACTGAAATCTAAAGTGATATTCTCCTGGTATTGGGAAGTTTGAACGAATATCAGTCAAGTTTATCTCTTAAATCGCTTTTTGGATAGGAAAGTAGTTAAGCTAGTTAAAGTCTTCGTTGTCCTCGGGAATGTAGTAGAATATATAAGTTAATGACATTATTTTATCAATTTATTACTATTAATTATTTATAATTTGAATTGACAAATTTAAATGAAGCAAAAATTATAGCCAAAATCATAGCAATCTAGTTCTGCTCTTCCAGGAATATATGTAGCAGATCTAGACTTAAAATTTCAGACTCAAAAACTCCAAAAGCTAGTTCAAGACAAGCTAGTTGAAGAATCTCTGCTTGAAATAGTAGTTGGCCAAGTAGATTAGAATCAGCTAGCTAAATTATATCTAATTACTGAGTATGGAACATTAATTTGCTTGCATTATGACTTTAAAGACAAGCTAGTGAAAGATGTCAAGATAACATCATATATCAAGGAGATGATCAGTTTTAAAATCCTCAAGATTAAGGCAAGTGAAAATCTTTCAATATGTATGCTGATTGAGCACGATTGTCTCTGCTAAGTCAAGCTGAACTCAGGCTTCGATGAATTTGGAGGCAGAGATAGCAATATTAATTCATAAAATAGAAATCTAAACATAATGAATGAGGAAAATCACAATTTAGCGTAAGTAACAGTATTTCTTATATGTTTATAGAATTGGGGTAATTGAGTGTTAAGTTTAGAATGCCTACTAGATGACATTAAATTAGACTGGTTCATATATAATAATTGCAAACAACGAACTCATTGAGGTATTGTATTATGCACTTTCTAATGAGATTTTAGATTTTTAGTTCATCTGCAAATTTAATGAATCCATAATCACAGATTAACCTCGAGAGAATATTAATTGTAGAATTCTAGCAATTGCCATTGATAATTAACGGGATAGATGAGATAATTTTTGATAGATTTGAAAGGAATGTATTCTATGCTGTAGGAGTAAAAAACATGAATTTTGAAAATAGTTAATATGAAAATGATCAGTAAGGAGAGATATCAGATCATGTAAGGATTGAAAAGTTCTTCATTGAGAATGACTCGTTTTCATCGAAAACTTAAGCTTTCCTCTAAATGGCTAACAAAGAAGAGGAAGTATTGTAATATAACATAGCCTAGAATTAAGAAAAAGTAGCTATACTAACTGATAGATCTAACATTTACATTTACAACATCTCTGATTTGGAGCAAAAACTGTCTAACACTATGAAATCACAGTAAAACAAGAACTAAAATCGTCTACAGACTAATGAGAATTTACATTGCTATGAAGAGTCAAAACATACGACTGTGACTAGAGAATATAATTTCAAAGACAGTATGCACACTCAAGAAATGGTAACTTAGAATATGAGTGCATTAGATAAAACACCTTTAAATAGAACAAATAACAATCAAAATAGACAAACTGAGCAAGATGACGACGGAGATGACATCAAGCCTTTAACACCAATAGCCAAAATAATAAAAATTGGAGAAGAGATTTCTGATATGAAATGGATTTTAAATGATGCATTTCTCATGATTGTTACTAGAAACAATAACCTAATTATCTTTGATAGTCTGCTATATGCCTTCAATCTTTCTCATAAGAACCAAAATAGCGTTGGAACACCTTCCAAGTTTCTCTAAATTAATCTTAAAGGATAAATTGCAAAGTTATAGAGTGAAAATAACATCTATTAAATAAAGGGATTTTAGTAGCCTTAAACAAATATGGGTATTCATCTTTAAAATCAAAACTAATTTGTAGTTTTGTCAACTCTATAAAGCCATTTAAAAATTATATACTTGGAAAACTTTGGGAGTTTTAGCAAGTAGCAAAAGTTCGATTAATAATTCATAATAAAATCCCATTTGCATTCTATGAGAGTAAATCATGTTTTGAATCTAATTACCTCTTGCATTTAGGACCCCGAAACATGGCTTAGTTCTGCTCTTCAGCTAATTAACTACTGTTTATTAAATTCTAATGTACTCACAGGCTAATAGATAACCAAGGTTAAGATATTTTAACTTTACAAAATTAGTCATTAGCGACAAGACTTTGACTATTTTAATCACACCATTGAATACTTCTTTACTAAATTGTGTTTGAAATATCTTTCTCTCAAAATGTATGAGGAAGCATTATATATCGCTTTTGAAATGGACTCTGCAAATTTGCTTAATTAGATTAAAGTACTAGCAAAGAAATAGAGAAATACGATAATATAGGGATTGATTGATTTTCATAAAGAAAAGAATAACCCTGGCTCAAGTGCTAACAGCCTTATGAAATCTCTAATTCAGATAGCTAATTTTTCTAAAAAGCAGTTAAAAAAAGAAGACTTTAGTAATTTATATAAGGATTTCGATACTTTATTGAGGATTGATGATATCTCTGATTTGGAATTATCTGATTTTAATTCTTGGGAGATTAATCTAGATGATTACTAGAAGGCTCTTGATTTTGAATTTGAAGGTAAATTTGAAGAAGCAATGAAGATCTATGAACAAAATAATCTGAATAATGATATTTTCAGAGTTAAGTCTATTTTGAATGAACTATCAAAGGAGGTCAGAGAAGGGGAAAGGCATCTTATCTTTGAGGATATTAAAAAGTTTATTAATAATTGATGATTTAGTAATTCACTTTAATTTAGCAAATTTTAATTACTGGGGTTTTGGGGTTTTGGGGTTTTGGGG